TAAATAACAATAATAAAATAATAGTGATAAAATAATAAAAATAAAAACAAACAAAAAATAAATGACTGTGGTAATACACCCCAAAATATGATGTCTACGCATGTGGACGTCATCCAGATCTAAAGAGGTTCATCATTGGCAGTAATTGCAGCTGTAGACAACAACAACAACAACAACTGTTTTTTGACAAGTTAGAATTCCAAACCAACTAAATCCATAATATAATTTATAATTAAAGATATCTACAATTCATTTCTCACTGGGGCTGCAAGGTGGCTCGGTGGTTAGCAGCGTTGCCTTGTAGCAAGAAGGTCCCGGTGGGAACACCTGGGATCTTTCTGCATGTTCTCCCAGTGTGGGTTCTCTCTGGGTTCTCCAGCTTCCTCCCACACAGTCCAAAAACATGTTGAGGATAATTGGTGATTCTAAATTGTCCGTAGGTGTGAATGTGAGTGTGCTTGGTTGTCCCCTGAGTCAGCTGGTATAGACTGCAGGCGACCCTAGTGAGGATTAAGCGGTGTATAGATGATGGATGGATTTCTCACTAGTCCAAATGTTAGTTCTTTCTATCAACAAAGAAGTTTTTTTTTTACGAGTGGTAATGTTCATTATAGAGATTTTTTACTCACCTTTAACTTTCACTATTGATTTCTATTCAAACTCAGTTACAGATTTCAACCTGGCCATGTTATAACTTCAAGTATCCGTCTTAGCTGCAATTCTAATTTGCGATATTTGCAACCTAATTCTCGCTTGTTAAAGTATTAATATCAACAAGTCAGCTCTCACTAGTGGAAATGTTGATATCTGAAATGGGTGACATCAAAAATGAACATGCCCATTAATAATAATAACAACTTTATTTACATGGCACCTTTACCAGCAGGGTGCTTTGACAGACAAAGCTAAAAGCAGGATACCCTGAAGGCACATTAGGAACATGAAGCAAGACAAACAAGGAAAGGCAAAATAAAGGGGAAATTAAGATACAGTTACAACAAGAAGACAAAAGTTGGAAAAATGTCAAAATGTCAACAATAAATGCAACAAAAACCCTGAAAAGCAATTTGAAAAATGACATCCCATTAAAGCAAGTCTATAAATGTGGGTTTTAGAGCCTCTAGCTGAGGAGTCCTGATGCCTAAAGGTCTGTATGTCGCTGTAATTAGTGCGGCATAACTTAAATCAACATGCTAATTGGGTGACACATCCAAAATGAATATGCTAATTATCACGATGGATCCAGAATGCTTTGTTGATATGTCAAACAGAAATGCAGTTGTTGATATCTTATCATGAGAAATGACATTTCACGCTCCTTTTTTTTCCAACATGTGGAAATTCAGCTGCTGATATCTGCAACTGTTCATCTCACTGGTGAAAAAGGAATCACTGCTATCTATAATTAAATTATAGCCGTTTATAACTCAGCTCTGACTTTGTAATTTGTGGTCAAATGCACCGTATTATTTCAAAATACATCTTAAATTACCATTTCAACATGTCAAAATGACATTCTGACAAGCGGAAATGTTCACAGATTACAGCCCCGTTGACTGAATGATGCTCGCCCCACAAATGAGGAGAAAACATGGACCTGGAGATGCACAGATTTTTAAAAAAAGAACACACATTACTGCAAATATTTATCACACGCCTCTCTCCCTCTGTGCCCTCCTGCAGTAAGTACCGCCCACAGAGCACCGAGCCACAGACGGACGGACTCTCGGTCTCCACAACAGCCGACGGCTCTCAGCCAAACGTAAGGAAACTGTGCGACACCCCTCCGCCCGCTCCCCAAGCTCACACTCACAACCTGGCGTACTATGACAACATTATCTGTCAGGTATGCCCCAACTCTCCTCATGTTTGCTCTCTCTCTCTCTCTCTCCTTCCACTTGATTTTTTTCTCTCTCTCTCTTCTTCATTTTCCTCTCTCTGTTTTTCCTCTCATCCTCATCGTGTTCTCTCCCTGCCAGCTTGAGCAGTGATTTGACTCACTGTATGTCTCTGTCTTCATCCGTCTGTACCGAATTGCCGAAAAAAAAAAAAACAAGCTCACCTTGATGCAACATTCTCATTAGGATTTCAGAATGTCTGTGTTTTAATGCTTCTCACACTCACCGATCCCCCTTCAGAGGCCGTCAGCAACCAGCTATACGTGGGAATATAAACCTAGAAACCTTTATAACCACTTCCAGGTAAGCACAGTGGAGACGTCCACATTGCCTGCAGCAGTCTCTCCCTCTCCCCCCGGCTTTGGCTTTGATTTTAACCCACTGTGCAGCTGCTAGACACCAGATTTTGGCTCTTCATTTGCTGCGAAACCTCACTTCCACGACCTTTTTTGTTTTTTTTTTTCTTTCCCTCCTGCATCTGATCTCGTTCTTGATCAGCCGTGTCGTGTTCCACGTTACACTCTGCGTGAAATGATTAATCGCCTCCCGCAAGGTCTTCCTTCCTGCAGCCAGTTGTTCAGAGGTGTTATGTAGTCACCGCTGTGTGAATAAATAGCAAGTTCCCACATTCGCTGCCTCTGTCTCACCTGTGCCTCTGCATCCCGAGAAGCCCGGTGAGGAAGCTGATCCTCCATTTTGTTTTAACTGCTCGCTGCTCGCTTCCTCCCCAAATGCAGCTCCAACAGCCATTTTAGGTCCCTGTGCAGCAGGTTTTCCTCTTTTTTTTCTCTTTTTCTACCCAGTTCTCTTTCTACAGGTTGTGCATGTAGCGCTGCTGTAAAGTGGTCTGCATTCTGTAGCGGCATGTGAGCGAGTGTACGAATATGAATGCCTTCATTTATGTCCATGTTTCCATGTGTGGGGGTTTGTGTTTGTGTGTTGCCCCTCTTTGTGTTCGTCAATCATGCTCGCCTACTGGGTTACTAAGCCAACAGCACACTGCAGAAGATGCATGTTTAAACTCTTACGCCCAAAAATCAATACTTTTTTAATAGAAGTACAAAAAAAAAAACCCATAAGCAGCATATTAAGCCTGTGAGATCAGCAACAGAAACATGACTTTCAACTTTTTTTTGGACCTCTTGCCTCCTGTGCGAAAGGACATTTAGTGAGTCCAGCCGCGGCCACAGCGACTCATCAATACAATAGTGTCCTACTTTCTGCCTGCTGCGCCTCTGACCTTCAGATGACTGTGACGTGCCAATCAATAGAGGACCCGAGCGAGCACAAACCCGACATGCACACAGACCCAACAGTTTTGCGGCCGTACAAACACGTCTCTGCGATTGATAATGACACGCATTTACCGCGTTTAACGGCAAACACATGCTGATGGATTTTCAAAATCACGTACTAAATCTCAGTCCATTACCCGCACCTGGCTGAGCGCACTGAAGTGAACAAATTGTGACTTGTTTTTTTTATTTTTTTAATAGAAGCCACCGCTCTCAGAGCTTCGTTGGCATTTCAGTGCAGTGATTATAGATGAGTTTCTGTGACTTCCGGATGCTCTAAATGTCAGGTCTAGAGGCTAAAAAGCCCCTGCAGGCACATGGTCCGCAATGCAGTTTTTAAATGTCATAGGTCGGAAAAGTATTTTTTTTTGGATTGCTGAGGTGTGATTAGTTGATTAGATAAAGGTCTGAACATGCAGTTCCAGTATCGGTCCGTCCAGTGACCTTCAGGTATGATGATCTGAGCAGAGTTTTCTGACGGATAGCTGTAGTTTGTTTTGACTGAGCTGCAGGATTCTATTTTTACCTTCAGTTTAGTTTTAGATTTTTATTTTGTGACTGTTCGTGACACCATCCTTGTCGTGCTCTCTTTTGTTGGTCTTAATAGCAGTGTGTCATCCACATACACATAAAGCAGTCGGATTTTTCTTCTCCTTTATTGACAAGGAGCTCAACATGGGAGACGCACAACAGCAGTTTGCACCGTTCTTTTCCCCCCATATTTCGTATCTATTTGTGTTTACAATAGGAGGGTGAGCAGGTTTTTACTGTTTAATGACTTCCTCGGCCAGCGATTTGACACGCCCTTATATTCCTATAAACAGTGTAAAAGACACATTTGAAGAGTTCATTTGCAAAAACAGATAACTCAATTCTTGTAGATTTTCAGAAAACACATTTTTTTGTTGTTTGCTTGAGATAATATCAATCAAAATGAAGTTGAGTGGATATGACTCAGTTGAAATGACATGACAAAAATAGAGATAACTTAAGTTTGATTGGTGTTGTCTCAGAAAAGTGGGTCTTCTGAAGGTTTGTGAAGATGGAGTTATCTGTTTTTGCAAATGAACTCTTGGTCTGTGGCATGAAAGCATCTGATTCCACACATTTAAATAAAAAAAAATCAAACATTAGGATGCACTAGTCAAGCAGGAGTGTATACTAAGATGTGTAACTACCGGGCATGTGTGAAGAGTAACTAACTCTCTCTGCAGGATGAGCCTCAGAAGCAGGAGGACCAAGCAAAGTCCCCTCAAGCCAAGGAAGAAGGCTCTATGAACATCCTCAACTCTCACTCCCCCAAGCACGAGAACAACCGCCCGGCCTCCTTCGCCCACGACCAGGGCCACATCCCCAACAACACGGAGGAAAGCGCCGAGGTAAACATGCTCCAGAACAACCTGGTATAATGTCACCGTCTGTCGTAGTGTGTGCCGCTGGAGAGTCAGACCAAAATATTTCCCCCCCAACTCCCCCCCGTTGCGCACAGAGCTCCTAGGCTAGCATGGTTTTACACCCGGCAAGGTGCGTAACAGTCTAACAAGACCTAATGTTGAAAGTAAGCACAACATGAATTGGAAAGGTACAACCTGAGAAGCACAACAGTCCTGTTTACAAGGCTGCCAATGCCGACACTGATCACATAGTGGCGCCGCTGCCTCCTTTCTTTCCTCTATCCGCCTCTTACACTGGACTAAAACCTCTGGCTTGGACCAACTTGCTGACTGACTTTCCTCTGTACTGATGCCCTGCCTTGGTCTTTGGCCAATGAACTCCTTCATTGTCTCTTCTCCCTCCCCTCTCCTCACCCCTGTCCTCACCCCTGCCTGCCCCGCCTTACTGTCTCTCTCTCTCTCTCTCTCTCTACCGCTCTCTCTCTCTCTCTGCCCGCATGCATTGGTGTTATCAACGAAAAAAAAAATGTCTGAAAACGTAATATTTGCAAAAGAAGTACGTGGAAAATTAAGTGAATATGTATTTGCGAAATATTCATGTTTGACATTGCTAATAAGTGGATATGTCTAGACTACATGAGGTCAAAGTAATTGCTTGGAGTTGATATTTGAATCTATCTACATATATTACACACGCTGTGTCTTGGTTTTCAATGTGATTTATAATACTTTAATGTACTTGAGATTCTTTTGTACTTTTTTGGGTATACATGGAGGATTACAGTTCACAGTTGTTGGAATAAATCTTTTTAATTTTATCCAGCTCGTCCCTGTGTGTTGCTATGAGCTCCGCTTTCCCTGCAGACTGTCTCTCCCTTTCTTTCTTTCTTTCCTTCTTCTGCATGTCTGCTCATGATGAAGCTAACTACTGCCCAACCGCTCTCTCGCTAATAATAACTGAATGCATTGCTGACCCCGCTTTTGTGCTACAGTAGGCTGCTCGCAGATTACACCACGCACACAAAGGTGACCGTTCAGAACCACGGACAGCTCTCTGAGACGAATAGCAGCTACTGCAGACCTTGGAATGTGCTTAATCTATATTCAAATACATTTAAAAAGTCTTTTCATCACCACATTTCAGCCCTTTTACTTAGAAACTCAGCGTTAAAATGATTAAAAGAGCAACACTTTTTTAAATCTGTGCACCTCCCGTGTTCAGTTTTTCACATATTGAATGAACATGAATGTTGGCATATCTGTTACCTATTCCTCTGTCCGTACCTTTTTATTACAATATATTAGAGGTTTTGTTTGTTTGTTTGTTTTTGCACAGATTACAACCTTCAATATGTATTAGGGCTGTCATGATACCATCGCCAAAAGAGTTCACGATAACGATATTACTCCAATATCTTTCGGAAATTCGAAAAACATCACAATGCTATCAATCAAAATCATCTTTAATTTTGAGGGTCTGTAACCAAAACTGTTCTGTATATTGTTACTGTATTATACAACATAGTCCCTGGGTTGTTTACAATGTTGTCATCATAATATTATAATGGTATTCATATTTCATCCCTGAAACATCACGGTTGTTGTCAAGAGCGACACATCATGACACCCCTGATGTATTACTTACATTTTATGTTTATGTACCACTAGCATTGCTATTTAAGCTCAGAAAGACAGGCCACTTCTACTGGTTTTCTGCAAGAACATTCACAGTATTCTACAGTACGATAAATATATCTTCTGTATGAAAAATGTACTGAGGCCTTTGAGCCGACATCAGAACCGTAGGGTTATGGAGTACCTATAATCAGTGTCTTATACTAAAAGTGGGTTATATGATTGTGAAAAGGGTCACAATTATCACCCAACCATAGTTCTCCTCAACTTCATAAAGTTTTGAAGTGTCTTTCAGCTCACTGTTTTCTGGTCTGCAACATTCGCTCCTGTTACTTTTTTTTAAATTAGCAAAAAGACACTTATTTGTAGACATTTTCCTGCGGAGATGGTGGAGACCAAAAGCTGAGCTAAAAGGAAAGTGAATATTGGATTGATAGAAAAACCAAAGTAGCATTAATTTAGTCTGATGTTGTTCCACATCTGGCATATAGGCAAACAGTTTCCCCATATTATCCAAAAAAAGACAAGGTAAGGGATAAAAAGTCTTTATTTCAGCTGTCAAGTCTGTGCCCTGTACCTCACCTTAGTCCATGTCTGTATTCGTCTCTGTATCTTTCTGTCATTGTGTTGACTGTCCCTGCATAGTTGCATCCTTCTCTACTTACCATATTTCCACATCAGGATGGAGTCACTATTGGCCTGGAAGTGCTTCTCCCCAAAGAGGCCAAACTCCACCCGGAGACCAGCAAACCCCTTCAGTACGACGTCTTCCTCTACAAGGTTGCCAACAACGGAGACTCCGGCTCTCCCAGCCAAGGCCCCGCCTCTCACTCCACCAACTCTTACTCCACCTCTCATCCCATTCCCAGATCACCTAAAACACCTAAGACACCCAAGTCGCCCAAGATGCCTAAGTCACCCAAATCACCCAAACACACTAAGGAGCACCTACCCTGTAGCCGTGAACCCTTAGCCGGGAGGCACTCCTCGCCCGGCCGTTACCCCTCACCCGGCCGCCACCCATCGCCAAGCCGCCACCCGTCACCAAGCCGTCACTCTGCACCCGGGTGCTATTCCTCCCCCACCTGTCATCCTCACCACTCCCCCTCTCAGTACAAATGCATGCCCTCCTGCTCCTCCACCCCGCCTCAGCTACGCCGGCCCAGAGGTCGGTCTCAGCCTTCAGTGTCGGGCCACTCGGGGACCGGGAGGGAGTACCAGAGCGGACACATCCGCCCTTCCCCCTCATCACCTCATCTCACCCAGCCGCCTCCATCGCCGTCCAAGGCGAAGTGCAGCCCGGTCAGCACCCGATCCCTGCCACCTCTCTCCTGACCAGGCCTTCACTCAGTCCAACATCTGTACATTCAAACGCACAAAACATCTGTCATCATCTAATCTCTCCAGCAATCTGTGCATCGTGGCTCTAACTGTTTTTTTTGTTTTTTTTTAAAATTACTGATTAATAGATCTTTTATCCATCTTTCCATCTTTGCACCCTGGCTCTTCACTTTTATATTTGGAGGAAGAAGACAGCACCTCACCGTGGACCAGAAAACTGGGACAACCCCGCATACACCGCATTCACTTCAATTCAAACCTGGATGCACCAAAACACACACACACACTGTATAAATCACTGTGTAGTCGCTGCAGCCACCACATTCACACCCATACGGTAAACTACAGCCTCTCAAAGCTCAGGTTTCTGCTCCGTCATGCACAAAAACGAACGATTACATGTGAACAAGCTCTCCTAGCACGGTGCCAACGTCAGCGACTGCTGAGGATATTCCTCGCAAAGGTTTCATAGAGTAGCCTTAGTTTTATCAACGGTTTATATAAATGTTTTGCTATTCAATATGTTATGTTATTTCATGTTTTCATAGGCTTTTTGGGTATTTTTTCATGTTTCTAATCCTCAATAAATTGATAAAAACAATGAAACATGCAGTATTTTGTTCTGAAGATGAGGAAAGCTGAGAGGAACAGCCCAAACCAAGACACAGTGAGGATTTGAGGAGTAGCCAGGTTGCGTGGTAGAGAAATAGGACGGACTCTGCTCCCTTCTTGTGGACGATGTAGGTATTACAACATGAAAAACGGGCCTTGAAACTCTGGTAACTTACATTTCAGATTAGAATCATATGTTGAAGTGGTAAATGAGAAATGGTTGCTGATGTTCCTACACTGCAACACAGAGGAAAAATAACATTGAGAACATCGTTGTAGACAAAAAAATAATTGTATTGTTGTTCCTTAATGTTAATAAACAGGAAAAGAAAGATGTGCTCATGGGGAAATTTTACAAACTATATTTTTCTACAAGCCCCTGAAGTGCCATGTTGGTGTCCACGTTTGAGTGAAGGCTCCAGCAGGTAACAAAGACGCACTAAATAAACTTTATCTAACCCGTAGCTGAGACACACACCAGCATAAAAAGGCAAGGCAGGTTTACAATTAGAATTTGTACCCGAGGTAATTCAAAAGGGCTTCACACAAAACTTTAAGAAGACAGATCAAAACAGTCCACAGAACTTAAACACGATTATTAGTTAATTACTTTTAAAGCAAAGAGGCAGATAAAATCAATCCATAAAAACATAAATATAATCATTAATTTGAAGAGTACACATAAAATACTTTCAGCTGTCATATGCACAACTAAATAGAACTGTGTTCAGCCTGGATTTGAACATTATCAGAGTTGAGGCCTGTCTCACATCTTCTGAAATCCAGTTCCAGATTTTAGCTGCAAAAACCTGGAACGCAGCCTCACCGTGTTTGGTCCTGACTCAGGACTCTGTTTGCTTTATGTAAAGTCACTGAAAATGACATTAATGACGAGTGTAGAGTATGAACAGCACTTTTCCCCACTAAATGTTAGTTCAGTCATGCAACCACGACGTACATTAATGATTGAAGGTTTGACAGAAAGGAGGCATTATCGAGAGACAGCTGTGGTATTCAGAGCCTGTTCTTGTGTTTCATAATCTGTATGAAAATATAAAACAATTAGACATCAATCCAGACAAAAATAGTTGATATTAAAAGTGATAAATGTTAACTTTATGTGCATTTGCAAAGACAGCTAACATTATGGTTTGGGAAACTGTGCAACTTGGGAACCAGTGATGCCAGGAGGTATGTGAACCTTCTATATATGTCTGCATAAATAAGAACTAAAATCATAAAGTCGTAAAAATACCTAAAGAGAATCCAATAAAACAAGATTTAAAAAAAATATTAGGCTTGATTATTTGTCATTTATTAAGGAAATTATACAATATGACCTATCTGTGAGTTTAAAAGGAAGTATAAGAACCTCAAAGACAAGCAGTTAAGTTAAAGGTAAAATTAGTCTGGTGTTTTCAATAGGT